TACGCTGGACTGTATGTAGCGGAGATGACAATAAAGTTTACTTTGACTTCAGCAGCGAGCACCGATGTTTTTTCGAAATTCTACACGCGAAAGGTGAGCGCGAGAGCGCGAGAGGCCTCGGTGCGCCTGCTTCCAAATAGAGCACATTTCATTCATAATGTTGTAAATCCAAGCCCATCATGTATTCATGATTTGAATCCTGGGTTGTGCGAAATCCCAGAAATAAACCCGAGACAAAGTGAATCTGTGAATTAAGTACATACTGGAGTGCAAAATTAAAACCAAGATGGACAAGAAACGTTCAAAGCCATCAGGTGCTCAGTTTAGAAAAAATAGAAAAGAAGAGGAGGAGAAACGAGCAACAGATGCAGGTAAGCAGATGTGTGATTGGATAATGGCAGGTCATCCTGAAACAATCAGAGTCAGAATACTTTATTAATCCCTAAGGAAATAATGTGAGTTACAGTTGCTCCAAGAAGAAATGGTAAAAACAGCAACAGTAACAGACGAAACTCCAAACATTACATTATGTTACAGGTTTTACACATTTAAGAAACAGCACTAATATATACAGATCACTCAGTTATAAATATCAAGGATTAACAGAGGGGATTATAAATAAATATCAAGAAAATTGATGAGAATATTCCAGAGTAGAAAAAAGCGTGTGCAAAAAGGCTGTAACTGTTGCAGTGTTCACAGTGTGTTAGATGGAGGAGCTGTACAGGGAGCCACAGACAGGAATGATTCCTGTGTCGGTCAGTGGTGCATTGTGGGTAATCTCAGTCTCTCACTGAACGTGCTCCTGTGAGTAACCAGCATGTCATGGAGAGGGTGGGAGGTGTTATCCATGATTGTCCTTATCTTGGACAACATCTGCCTTTCAGACACCACCCTAACGTCCAGCTCCATCCCCACAACATTACTGGCCACGTGGATCAGTTAATTTAGTCTGTTGGGGACAGTGAAAACTTGGGCGCTTCTCCGGCGCTGATAGTTGGCGTCTGTCTTGTGTCAGTGACATAAAAGACGGATTTAAAGCGACATGACCATCAAACAGCAGTCGCTTTCTAAAACATCAGATATGTATCGGATTCAGCACCCAGGTCGGATTTGTGCCGTTCACACTGTCACACCATGATGGGATATGGGTCGCATAGGGTTTGGCAAACAACATATGTTCATTACCCAGAAGGAATTAGACTTGCCGAAGGTTTCCTTGAAGCTAACAGCTTGTTATGTGAAGGGGCTCGTCCAGGATATCGCACAGGGTCAAAAAAGTCGGATTTGATGCGCTTTCGCCTGCAGTGTGAACGTAGCCTTAAGCTTAGGCACAGAAGCGCCCGAGAAGACATCGTGAA